AGCGACAGCCCCAAAACATCACTGCTCTAGAGGAGATCTGCATGGAGGAATGGGCCAAAATACCAGCAACAGTGTGTGAAAACCTTGTGAAGACTTACAGAAAACGTTTGACCTGTGTCATTGCCAACAAAGGGTATATAACAAAGTATTGAAAAACTTTTGTTATTGACCAAATACTTATTTTCCACCATAATTTGCAAATAAATTCATAAAAAATCCTACAATGTGATTTTCTGGAGAAAAAAATTCTCATTTTGTCTGTCATAGTTGACGTGTACCTATGATGAAAATTACAGGCCTCTCTCATCTTTTTCAGTGGGAGAACTTGCACAATTGGTGGCTGACTAAATACTTTTTTTCCCCACTGTACAGTGTGTGCAAATGTAGTAAGTTATGGAGGTAAGGCAATAAATAGGCCATAGTGCAAAATAATTACAATTATGATTTAGTGGAGTGATAGATGTGCAGAAGATGATGTGCAAATAGAGATACTGGGGTGCAAATGAGCAAATTAAATAACAATGTAAATAACAATATGGGGATGAGGTAGTTGGGTGGGCTAATGACAGATGGGCTGTGTACAGGTGCAGTGATCGGTAAGCTGCTCTGACAACTGATGCTTAAAGATAGTGAGGGAGATAAGTGTCTCCAGTTTCAGAGATTTTTGCAGTTCGTTCCTGTCATTTGCAGCATAGAACTGGAAAGAATGGCGACCAAAGGAGGTTTTGACTTTGGGGATGACCAGTGAGATATACCTGCTGGAACGCATACCATGGGTGGATGTTGCTATGGTGACCAATGATCTAAGATAAAGCGGGGATTTGCCTAGAAGGGATTTATAGATGACCTGGAGCCAGTGGGTTTGGCGACGAATATGTGGTGAGGGCCAGCCAACGAGAGCGTACAGCTCACAATGGTGGGTAGTATATGGGGCTTTGGTGACAAAACGGATGGCACTATGATAGACTACATCCAATTTGCTGAGTAGAGTGTTGGAAGCTATTTTGTAAATGTCATCGCTGACATGTTTTGCAGCATGAGTGAAGGAGGCTTTGTTGCGAAATAGGAAGCCGATTCTAGATTTAACTTTGGATTGGAGATGCTTAATGTGAGTCTGGAAGGAGAGTTTACAGTCTATCCAGACACCTAGGTATTTGTAGTTGTCCACATATTCTACATCAGAGCCGCCGAGAGTAGTGATTCTAGTCAGGCAGGCGGGTGCAAGCAGCGTTCGATTGAAGAGCATGCATTTAGTTTTACTAGCGTTTAAGAGCAGTTGGAGGCCACGGAAGGAGTGTTGTATGGCATTGAAGCTCGTTTGGAGGTTTGTTAACACAGTGTCCAATGAAGGGCCAGATGTATACAAAATGGTGTCGTCTGCGTAGAGGTGGATCTGAGAGTCACCAGCAGCAAGAGCGACATCATTAATATACACAGAGAATAGAGTTGGCCCGAGAATTGAACCCTGTGGCACCGCCATAGAGACTGCCAGAGGTCCAGACAACAGGCCCTTCGATTTGACACTTTGAACTCTATCTGAGAAGTAGTTGGTGAACCAGGCGAGGCAGTCATTTGAGAAACCAAGGCTATTTAGTCTGCCAATAAGAATGCGGTGATTGACAGAGTCAAAAGCCTTGGCCAGGTCAATGAAGACAGCTACACAGTACTGTCTTTTATCGATCACGGTTATTATATCGTTTAGGACCTTGAGCGTGGCTGAGGTACACCCATGACCAGCTCGGAAACCAGATTGCATAGTGGAGAAGGTACAGTGGGATTCTAAATGGTCGGTGATCTGTTTTTAACTTGGCTTTCAAATACTTTCGAAAGGCAGGGCAGGATGGATATAGGTCTGTAACAGTTTGGATCTAGAGTGTCACCCCCTTTGAAGAGGGGGATGACCGCGGCAGCTTTCCAATCTCTGGGGATCTCAGACGATACGAAAGAGAGGTTGAACAGGCTAGTGATAGGGGTTGCAACAATTTCGGTGGCTAATTTTAGAAAGAAAGGGTCCAGATAGTCTAGCCCATCTGATTTGTAGGTGTACAGATTTTGCAGCTCTTTCAGAACATCAGCTATCTGAATTTGGGTGAAGGAGAAGCGGGGGGGGGGGGGGGGGGGGGGGGGGGCATGGGCAAGTTGCAGCGAAGAGTACAGAGCTGGTGGCCGGGGTAGGGGTAGCCAGGTGGAAAGCATGGCCAGCTGTAGCAAAATGCTTGTTGAAATTTTCGATTATCGTAGATTTATCGGTAGTGACAGTGTTTCCTAGCCTCAGTCCATTGCTGTGCACACATTACTAATCTGCATTGGTTTGAATCCTGGCCGCTGTCTTGTCTAATTATGTAAATTCTAACCTATGCTGTTCTTCACTCACAATAGATGGTGTCATACTGGTTGACCCTGAGGTCCTCAAAGGAAAAAAAGGTCTGCATTTCACCAAATGTGTGCGTGTGCATGTGCATGTGGGCAAGTGTTTGTGCTTGTATGTGTGTAGAACAGGGCTGGGGTCGATTTTAAATTGAAGGCAGTCAATTCAGGAAGTGGTTTGAATTTAAAATAAAATACAAATGGAAAAGCTTTTAGCTTTTTTAATTTGATTGAGAAGCCATTCAAAATAGCAGTACTTCCAGCCTTCTCGGCTAGATTTGTGACGGCTCAAACCATGACCATGTTAATATAACCATATATCTTTGACTCCCCCTAGCGTTCGTCCAGCTGTCCTGCACGTTCCGGTACGGTCGTGAAGATATGGACGTGATGGGAATTGCCTTCCGTAAGGAGATCTACATGGCCAACCGTCAGGTGTATCCGCCCATGCAGGACAAGGAGCAGTCCACACACACCCAAGATGCAGGGCAAACTGCTGCGCAAACTGGGAGACAATGCTTTCCCTTTCTTTTTCGAGGTGAGGGCCAAGGACCTAAAGAGACACCAACATTTTATTGTACATGCACATTGCAAATTAAAAACACTTATACATGTCAAGAAAAACAACAACACTCACATAGGCCTACTCGCGTCATTATGCCCACACATGAACACAAACGCCTCTCGTTCACCTAATTACATTTTTCTTTGTGTGTGTGTTTCAGTTCCCTGATAACCTGCCTTGTTCAGTGGGTTTGCAGCCTGGCCCTAAGGATTCTGGGAAGGTAAGGGTTGTGAACCTTGACCTGGTTGTCTCTTATATTGCTTCATTCCATTATGTGATATTTGTTTATTACATTTGAAATGCATATAATGTATTTTTGTATTCTGAGAATTGTTACATTGTGACGATTGACGTATACAGCTCATATAATGTATTTCAGATTGTGAGCATGCTCTGTTGTTGTCTTGGTAGCACTGTGCTGTGGAGTTTGAGGTCAAAGCCTTCAGTGCGGAGAGCCAGGAGGCCAAAGTCCGCAAACGGTCAGTGGAGTTTTCTCTTTCCCAAATAACCACCGATCCTAACCCAAAGTCTCCACCATCGGCCCTGGAGAGCTGCTTTAACAGAAATAGCCGGTTGTGGCTCTATATCACAACAAACATTGATGGATGGTGTTACAAAACCAATAACTAGCCTACCGATGTTGTTGCACTTGCTTTGTTTAGGGGTCCTAGGCATAGTTACATGGTATGTAACTTGAATGAATGTGTGCATTTATGTGAGAAATCAGCGTTGGAGGACCATGTTGGATGCACTTGTGCCCAGGGAGACAGCCATCTTACTTTAGGCCCAGGGCCAGCTCCTTCTTGATCTCTTGGTCGGCCAGTCCAAACAGATTATTATTTGTTCAGATGGTGACCAAACATAAATATGTAGAAAAAGAAAAAATACAAAAGGAATGCCCTAACTAAAGACTCAAAAACAAACAAAAGGCCTCATGGACACCAAACAAAACCAGCAGCCTCACAGCTTTTCCAGCTGGGACACTGACGATCACATCATTGGCAGCACCTGTCTCCTTATCAACCCGGCTCAGCATCTGGGGAATGGAGTGTTGAAGTGGTAGTGAGCTGTAGCGTGCTGTCTAAACTACCTAACCTATTCCATAACAATGGTTCTTTCTCATCCCTCCCCTCCCTTCCTCTCCCCTTCTCCCCTCCCCCTTCTCTCCTTCCTCTGTAGGAGTACAGTGCGTCTGATGATTCGAAAGGTGCAGTATGCCCCGGAGAAGAGCGGGACGGCCCCCTCTGTGGAGACCACCCGTGACTTTGTCATGTCCGACAAGCCCCTGCACCTGGAGGCGAGTCTTGACAAGGAGGTGGGTAGGATACCATTAGAGATAACAACACATGACTGGCCTTAGATTGTACGCCTTTGCTCATAAATGATTAGTGAAGCATCTACACTGCATTCGGAAAGTATTCAGACATTTTCCCTTTTCCCAAATGTTCTTACATTACAGCCTTATTCTAAAATTGAGTAAATAATAGTTTTTTCCTCATAAATCTACACACAATACCCCATAATGACAATGTTGTTTTTAGAATGTTTTGTAAATGTATTACAAGTAAAAAACAGAAAAACCTTATTTACATAAGTATTCAGACCCTTTGCTATGAGACTCGAAATTGAACTCCAGTGCATCCTGTTTCCATGTATCATCCTTGAGATGTTTTTACAACTTAATTGGAGTCCACCTGTGGTAAATTCAATTGATTGGACATGATTTGGAAAGGCACACACCTGTCTATATAAGGTCCCACAGTTGACAGTGCATGTCAGAGCAAAAACCAAGCCATGAGGTCGAAAGAATTGTCCGTAGAGCTCCGAGACAGGATTGTGTCGAGGCACAGAACTGGGGAAGGGTACCAAAACATTTCTGCAGCATTGAAGGTCCCCAAGAACCCAGTGGCCTCGATCATTCTTAAATGGAAGAAGTTTGGAACCACCAAGACTCTTCCTATAGCTTGCTGCCCGGCCAAACTGAGCAATTGGGGGAGAAGGGCCTTGGTCAGGGAGGTGACCAAGAACCCGATGGTCACTCTGACAGAGCTCCAGAGTTCCTCTGTGGAGATGGGAGAAACTTCCTGAAGGCCAACCATCTCTGCATCACTCCACTAATCAGGCCTTTATGGTAGACTGGCCAGACGGAAGCCACTCCTCAGTAAAAGGCACATGACAGCCCGCTTTGGAGTTTGCCAAAAGGCACCTAAAGACTCAAACCATGAGATACAAGATGATTTGGTCTGATAAAACCTAGATTGAACTCTTTGGCCTGAATGCCTAGCATCACAACCTGGCACCATCCCTACGGTGAAGCATGGTGGTGGCAGCATCATGCTGTGGGGATGTTTTTCAGCGGCAAGGACTGGGAGACTAGTCATGATAGAGGGAACGATGAACGGAGCAAAGTACAGAGAGATCCTTGATGAAAAGCGGCTCCAGAGCGCTCAGGATCTCAGACTGGGGAGAAGGTTCACCTTCCAACAGGACAACGACCCCAAGCACACAGCCAATACAACGCAGGAGTGGCTTCGGGACAAGTCTCTGAATGTCCTTGAGTGGCTCAGCCAGAGCCTGGACTTGAACTCGATAGAACATCTTTGGAGAGTCCTGAAAATAGCTGTGCAGCAACGCTCCCCATCCAACCTGACAGAGCTTGAGAGGATCTGCAGAGAAGAATGGGAGAAACTCCCCAAATACAGTTGTGCCAAGCTTGTAGGGTCAAACCCAAGAACACTCAAGGCTGTAATCGCTGCCAAAGGTGCTTCAACAAAGTACTGAGTAAAAGGCCTGAATACTTATGTAAATGTGATATTTCATATGTTTTTTAAATTATGTTTTTACATTTGCACACATTTCTAAAAACCTGTTTTTGCTTTGTCATTATGGGCTATTGTGTGTAGATTGATGAGAGGAAAAAAACAATTTAATCAATTTTAGAATAAGGCTGTAACGTAACAAAATGTGGAAAAAGTCAAAGGGGTCTGAATACTTTACGAATGCACTGTATATAGTGTTTGTTAAAAGTGGGACCAGCGGTCGTATGTATTAAGAGTAGGAGTGCTGCTCTAGGATCAGGTCCCCCCTGTCCTGTTATCTTATTCATTGTGATCTAAAAGGAAAAACTGATCCTAGATCAGCACTCCTACTCTGAGACGCTTGATACACACAACCCCAGCTTTTGCATGTGTGTGTTGGGGTTTGTTCAATGGGGTCCAACATTTCAAACATTGCTGGTATAAATGTTATGTATAGACCTTGGACAAAGCCTGGGATATTTTCAGACATAGTTCCATATGGTCATATGACCACAACTACAAAATGGCCCCCACAAGGAGCCCTCCTCTCTGACATGATTTCCTTCCCTTGCAGACCTACTACCATGGAGAGCCCATTAATGTGCGTGTCAACATCACAAACAGCTCCAACAAGAATGTGAAGAACATCATTGTCTCCGGTAAGGAAAGACCAACACATGCAGCAAACTTTACAAACTGACACATATGCGAAAGAACAAGATATCTATTCTATAATATATCAAAACTGGCAAAAGCATTACCCCACAATTTGCAAAGCACCAGATGTATGAACCCATCATATCACCCTTATTATATTGCTAAATGATTTTTGAAGCATGTATGTAGGCATTATAAATACTTTATGGGTCCTGTGTGGCTCAGTTGTTAGAGTATGGCACTTGCAGCGCCAGGGTTGTGGGTTTGATTCTCCACGGGGGACCAGTACGAAAAAGTACGAAAATGTATGCACTCAGTACTGTAAGTCGCTCTGGATAAGAGCGTCTGCTAAAATGTAAAAATGTTATGAAGGCTTACTCGTGCCCTATAAGTTCAAGTCTTCAAAGTGTGACTGGAGATGTTTTTCTATCTCTATCTTTGATTTCTCAGTGGACCAGGTGGCCACTGTGGTCTTGTATTCCAATGACAGCTACGTGAGGGCAGTGGCCTTAGAGGAATCTGGGTAAGCATCCAGCCTTTGAGAGAATACATGTTTAAACTGCAATAAACCACAATGGATATTAGATTTTAACTTTTGTTTGTTCATCAGTAATAATCAGAATCAGCTATACAGTGTGACTGCATACAGTGTCTTGCAAAAGTATTCATCCCCCTTGGCATTTTTCCTATTTTGTTGCATTACAACCTGTAATTTAAATGGATTTTTATTTGGATTTCATGTAATGGACATACACAAAATTGTCCAAATTGGTGAAGTGAAATGAAAACAATAACTTGTTTAAAAAAATTCTAAAAAATAAATAACGGAAAAGTGGTGCATGTATATGTATTCACCCCCTTTGCTATGAAGCCCCTAAATAAGATCTGGTGCAACCAATTACCTACAGAAGTCACATAATTAGTTAAATAAAGTCCACCTGTGTGCATTCTAAGTGTCACATGATCTGTCACATGATCTCAGTATATATACACCTGTTCTGAAAGGCCCCAGAGTCTGCAACACCACTAAGCAAGGGGCACCACCAAGCAAGCGGCACAATGAAGACCAAGGAGCTCTACAAACAGGTCAGGGACAAAGTTGTGGAGAAGTACAGATCAGGGTTGGTTTATAAAAAAATATCTGAAACTTTGAACATCCCACGGAGTTCCATTAAATCCATTATTAAAAAATGGAAAGAATATGGCACCACAACAAACCTGCTAAGAGAGGGCCGCCCACCAAAACTCACGGACCAGGCAAGGAGGGCATTAATCAGAGAGGCAACAAAGAGAACAAAGACAACCCTGAAGGAGCTGCAAAGCTCCACAGCGGAGATTGGAGTATCTGTCCATAGGACCACTTTAAGCCGTACACTCCACAGAGCTGGGCTTTAAGGAATAGTGGCCATAAAAAAGCCATTGCTTAAAGAAAAAAATAAGCAAACACGTTTGGTGTTCGCCAAAAGGCATGTTGGAGACTCCCCAAACATATAGAAGAAGGTACTCTGGTAAGATAAGACCAAAATTGAGCTTTTTGGCCATCAAGGAAAACACTATGTCTGGCGCAAACCCAACACCTCTCATCACCCCGAGAACACCATCCCCACAGTGAAGCATGGTGGTGGCAGCATCATGCTGTGGGGATGTTTTTTATTGGCAGGGACTGGGAAACTGGTCAGAATTGAAGGAATGATGGATGGTGCTAAATACAGGGAAATTCTTGAGGGAAACCTGTTTCAGTCTTCCAGAGATTTGAGACTGGGATGGAGGTTCACCTTCCAGCAGGACAATGACCCTAAGCATACTGCTAAAGCAACACTCGAGTGGTTTAAGGGGAAACATTTAAATGTCTTGGAATGGCCCAGACCTCAATCCAATTGAGAATCTGTGGTATGACTTAAAGATTGCTGTACACCAGCGGAACCCATCCGACTTGAAGGAGCTGGAGCAGTTTTGCCTTGAAGAATGAGCAAAAATCCCAGTGGCTTGATGTGCCAAGCTTATAGAGACATACCCCAAGAGACTTGCAGCTGTAATTGTTTGCGAAAGGTGGCTCTACAAAGTATTGACGTTGGGGGGGGTGAATAGTTATGCACGCTCAAGTTTTCTGTTTTTTTGTCTTATTTATTGTTTGTTTCACAAGAAAAAATATTTTGCATCTTCAAAGTGGTATGCATGTTGTGTAAATCAAATGATACAAACCCCCCAAAAATCCATTTTAATTCCAGGTTGTAAGGTAACAAAATAGGAAAAATGCCAAGGGGGTGAATAGTTTCGCAAGCCACTGTACATACAACCTGGAAATCACCCCAAAATGTCTAACTCGGGCTCTCCCATTGGTCTAGGGATGCTGTTGCTGCTGGTGCAAGCCTGAAGAAAGTGTATACCCTCACTCCCCTATTGGTCTGCAACCAGGAGAGGCAGGGCATAGCTCTTGATGGCAAGTTGAAGCATGAAGACACCAATCTGGCATCGTCTAGCATGTGAGTATCCCGCCAGTTATCGGCAGCTAGTAAAACAAGTGGTGATGTTGAAGGAGAATCTGGGTTGTGTTCATTAGGACACACCGTAGCAAAACATTTATAATAATAATAATATGATAATAATAATAATAATAATAATATAATAATAATAATAATAATAATAATAATAATATGCCATTTAGCAGACGCTTTTATCCAAAGCGACTTACAGTCATGTGTGCATACATTTTTACGTATGGGTGGTCCCGGGGATTGAACCCACTACCCTGGCGTTACAAGCGCCATGCTCTACCAATTGAGCTACAAGATAAACGCTTCTTACTGGACAAGTTCAAATAGTACCTCCCCTTTTTCCTTCATTTCGGAGCATTTTCATTTGTTTCGTGCCTACTGAACACAACCATGGTACATTCAGTTATATTGTGTAGAACAGACAACCCAGCAAACCAAAATTGGTTCTGTGAAAGTTCCCAGAACATTCGTTAGGTCGTGGCAAATGTTCTCACAACACAAAAACTGTCCAGTCATGCTGATGATTATACAGCGAGGGAAAATTTGTATTTGATCCCCTGCTGATTTTGTACGTTTGCCCACTGACAAAGAAATGATCAGTCTATCACTTTAATGGTAGGTTTATTTGAACAGTGAGAGACAGAATAACAACAAAAAAAATCCAGAAAAACGCATGTCAAAAATGTTATAAATTGATTTGCATTTTAATGAGGGAAGTAAGTATTTGACCCCCTCTCAATCAAAAGATTTCTGGCTCCCAGGTGTCTTTATTACAGGTAACGAGCTGAGATTAGGAGCACACTCTTAAAGGGAGTGCTCCTAATCTCAACTTGTTACCTGTATAAAAGACACCTGTCCACAGATCAATCAATCAATCAGATTCCAAACTCTCCACCATGGCCAAGACCAAAGAGCTCTCCAAGGATGTCAGGGACAAGGCTGGAATGGGCTACAAGACCATCGCCAAGCAGCTTGGTGAGAAGGTGACAACAGTTGGTGCGATTATTCGCAAATGGAAGAAACACAAATGAACTGTCAATCTCCCTCTGCCTGGGGCTCCATGCAAGATCTCACCTCGTGGAGTTGCAATGATCATGAGAACGGTGAGGAATCAGCCCAGAACTACACAGGAGGATCTTGTCAATGATCTCAAGGCAGCTGGGACCATAGTCACCAAGAAAACAATTGGTAACACACTACGCCGTGAAGGACTGAAATCCTGCAGCGCCCGCAAGGTCTCCCTGCTCAAGAAAGCATATATACAGGCCCGTCTGAAGTTTGTCAATGAACATCTGAATGATTCAGAGGAGAACTGCTTGAAAGTGTTGTGGTCAGATGAGACCAAAATCAAGCTCTTTGGCATCAACTCAACATGTTTGGAGGAGGAGGAATGCTGCCTATGACCCCAAGAACACCATCCCCACCGTCAAACATGGAGGTTGAAACATTATGCTTTGGGGGTGTTTTTCTGCTAAGGGGACAGGACAACTTCACCGCATCAAAGGGACGATGGACGGGGCCATGTACCGTCAAATCTTGGGTGAGAACCTCCTTCCCTCAGCCAGGGCATTGAAAATGGGTCGTGGATGGGTATTCCAGCATGACAATGACGCAAAACACACGGCCAAGGCAACAAAGGAGTGGCTCAAGAAGAAGCACATTACGGTCCTGGAGTGGCCTAGCCAGTCTCCAGACCTTAATCCCATAGAAAATCTGTGGATGGAGCTGAAGGTTCAAGTTGCCAAACGTCAGCCTCGAAACCTTAATGACTTGGAGAAGATCTGCAAAGAGGAGTGGGACAAAATCCCTCCTGAGATGTGTGCAAACCTGGTGGCCAACTACAAGAAACGTCTGACCTCTGTGATTGCCAACAAGGGTTTTGCCACCAAGTACTAAGTCATGTTTTGCAGAGGGGTCAAATACATATTTCCCTCATTAAAATGCAAATCAATTTATAACATTTTTGACATGCGTTTTTCTTGATTTTTTTGTTGTTATTCTGTCTCTCACTGTTCAAATAAACCTACCATTAAAATTATACACTGATCATGTCTTTGACAGTGGGCAAACGTACAAAATCAGCAGGGGATTGAATACTTTTTTCCCTCACTGAACAAAAATATAAACGCAATATGTAAAGTGTTGGTCCCATGTTTCATGAGCTGAAATAAAAGATCCCAGAAATGTACCATCTGCACCAAAAATTATTTCTCTTAAATTGTGGACACAAATGTGTTTACATCTCATTTAGTGAGTATGTCTCCTTTGCCAAAATAATCCATCCACCTGACAGGTATGGCATATCAAGAAGCTGATTAAACAGCATGATTATTACACAAGTGCAGCTTGTGGACAATAAAAGGCCACTCTAAAATGTGCAGTTTTGTCACACAACAAAATGCCACAGATGTCTCATGTTTTGAAGGAGGGTGCAATTGGCATGCTGACTGCAGGAATGTCCACCAAAGCTGTTGCCAGAGAATTTCGCTACAATAAGCCGCCTCCAACATCGTTTTAGAGAATTTGGCAGTACGTCCAACCGGCCTCACAACCGCAGACCATGTGTAACCACGCCAACCCAGGACCTCCACATCCGGCTTCTTCACCTGCGGGATCGTCTGAGACCAGCCACCCAGACAGCTGACAACCGAAGAATTTCTGCACAAACTGTCAGAAATATCCTCAGGGAAGCTCATCTGCCTGCTCGTCGTCCTCACCAGGGTCTTGACCTGACTGCAGTTCGGCTTCGTAACCGACTTCAATGGGAAAATGCTCACCTTCGATGGCCGCTTGCACGCTGGAGAAGTGTGCTCTTCATGGATGAATCCTGGTTTCAACTGTGCCGGGCAGATTGCAGACAGCGTGTATAGCGTCATGTGGGCAAGCGGTTTGCTTATGTCAGCGTTGTGAACAGAGTGCCCCATGGTTGCGATGGGGTTATGGTATGGGCAGGCATAAGATACGGACAACGAACACAATTGCATTTTATCGATGGCCATTTGAATGCACAGAGATACCGTCATGAGATCCTGAGGCCCGTTGTGGTGCCATTCATCTGCCGCCATCACCTCATGTTTCAGCATAATAATACATGGCCCCATGTTGCAAGGATCTGAAAATGTCCCAGTTCTTCCATGGCCTGCATACTCACCAGACATGTCACCCATTGAGCATGTTTGGGATGCTCTTGATCGACGTGTACGACTGCGTGTTCCAGTTCCCACCAATATCCAGCAACTCCGTACAGCCATTCTGAGAACGTTTAAAGAACAAACGAAATGTGTTCTGGAAACGTTCTTGTAACATCAGGTGAACGTTTTTTGCACCCTAAAAGAAACGTTGTATAATCATCCGCAACAACTGGACAGTTTTTTGTGTTTTGGGAACATGTCCCCATAATGTTATTTCTTATTATTTTTAGTCATTTAGCAGACGCTCTTATCCAGAGCGACTTACAGGAGCAATTAGGGTTAAGTGCCTTGCTCAAGGGCACATCGACCGATTTTTCACCTAGTTGGCTCAGGGATTAGAACTAGCGACCATTTGGTTACTGGCACAACGCTCTTAACCACTAAGCTACCTGCTGTTCCCACAACTTAATGAAACATTCTGGGAACCTTTTAAAGAACAGACAAAATGTGTTCTGGGAATATTCTTGCAACATCAGGCGACTGTTTTATACAAACATTGTATAATAATAATATAATATAATAATAATATGCCATTTAGCAGACACTTTTATCCAAAGCGACTTACAGTCATGCGTGCATACATATTTTTTTTTTTGTGTATAATCATCAGCACGACTGGACAGTTTCTGTGTTATGAGAACATTTGCCGCAACCTAACGAATGTTCAGGGAACCACAGAACCAATTTTGGTTTGCTGGACAACCATTACTGGTACATTGTGTTATTACCTGGAAACCTAATGAGAACTTTGGGGGAATGTTCTGTGGTGGTTGCTATAGATGTTGTGCACAGCATTTTAGTGAATGTTTGGTGAACATTCCAAGGATATTTAATTTAAAACCTAAAACATTATTTGAATGTTTTTGGGATGTTATCATCCCAATGATAGATAAAACCCTAACTAGAACATAATGGGAATCTTATGGAATGTTCTGGGAATGTTCCCGGTTTGCTGGCATTTATCTCTGAGCAAGTAATCATGTTAGCTCAATTCATGTCATTTCTATCTGCAATGTTCAGGGCATTGCTTCCTGAACTCAAACTTTATCCCTTATTGAAACATAATAAAGTGTGGTATTATTAGCATACTACAAAGGCAACACAATAGGGCGATGCAAGTTGCCTTTTATACGGCAGGGCTCCCGAGTGGCGCAGCAGTCTAAGGCACTGCATCTCAGTGTTTGAGGCGTCACTACAGACCCCCTGGCTCGATTCCAGGCTAAATCACAACCGGCCGTGATTGGGAGTCCCATAGGGCGGCGCACAATTGGCCCAGCGTCGTCCGGGTTTGGCCGGTGTAGGCCATCATTGTAAATAAGAATTTGTTCTTAACTGACTTGCCTAGTTAAATAAAGGTTAAAAAAGATAAAAATACTGGTGACTTAATTTCACGTCTCAACTCTCTTCTTGCTTCATTTCCATTCCTTTCCCTTCATTCCCCCTCTCTCTCTCTCTCTCTCTCTCTCTCTCTCTCTCTCTCTCTCTCTCTCTCTCTCCTCTCCTCTCTCCCTCTCTCTCTCTCTCTCTCTCTCTCTCTCTCTCTCTCTCTCTCTCTCCTCTCTCTCTCTCTCTCTCTCTCTCTCTCTCCCTACAGTGTTAAAGAAGGTGTGCTGAAGGAGGTTCTAGGAATCCTGGTGTCATACAGAGTCATGGTTAAGCTCATTATCGGCGGGTCAGTACACTGTGTGTGTGCGTGTGCGTGCGCACGTTGGTGTTTGGGTTTATTATTGGTTATGTTCTTCATCTTGTAGATTTAATACGTTTTTTGTCTTTTATGCTTTCGTAGAATAATGGGATCTAGGTATGATTGCTTTATCTTATTCAGCTACTGCACTTACACTCTTAACAATGCAATGAGCATTACTCATGTGTGCACCTCTGTGTGTGTGCATGTGTGTTTGTTATGGTTGCTTATATTATATCTGCGGCTAATCTCTAGCCTATCTGTTTTACTTCAGTGAGGTGGGAGTAGAGCTGCCTCTCACACTGATGCACCCAAAACCTGACCTAGGTACAAACATTTTTATTTCACGATCTGCATGTGAGTGGGCATGAGTGCATGTGTATTTTGCATTTTTCTGAAGCTTTCAATGCAATTGATCTGTTGTCACTAATATCACTCCATAGTACCCAACCCATGAAATCTAATCACTCATGTTGTTATCTTTTGCCTTCTGAAGTGAGGGAAAGGTAAAACTGGATTATCTTTCCTCCATGTCTTGCTTAGTAGTCATATGTGATTACATGATTGATCAACTGCGATTATGATCCCATGTACATGTTCACCTCTTTGTTCAATGAATCCGTGGAGGGTGTCATATTCTGAACATGTACCTGGACCCATTTTATCTCTCAATCGGACTGTTCTTCTGTTGTTTCTCTCTGTCTTTCAATTCTTTCTGTCTGTATTTTCGTTTATTTCCAATCACTGTATGTCTGTTTGTCTGTCTGGCTGCCTACCTGTCTGTCTGTCTGTCTGTCTGTCTGTCTGTCTGTCTGTCTGTCTGTCTGTCTGTCTGTCTGTCTGTCTGTCTGTCTGTCTGTCTGTCTGTCTTTTCATACACCTGCCTTCTTGCATATCTGTCTGTCTGACTGTCTTCTTGTCTCACCACGTCTCTGGCTTTACGTCTGTCCATTTGTCCATCCACACATTTCTTGGGAGCAGCGAGCTGGAGGAGGAGATGGTGTTTGAGGAGTTCAAGCGCTCCTACCTGAAGGGGATGGCCGACGATGAAGAGGAGGGCAACGTGTCTACAGGAGACGCAGCTTCCTGAGAAGGGCCCCTCGCCGCCGGCCAGGCAGCCTGGTCACAGCACCCCTTGTGGCCGCATCAGTACTCCATGCAACGAAGACAGAAAACGGGGATAGTATTGAGTAAAAAGTGTAACGATTGCAGTCAAAACAATTGTGGTTAGGTGTTTGAGTCACCCTTAGAGGTAGATTAGAACATTGCTGGTGGATGAGTTATAGTTTATTCACAAAGCTTAGGGGGTCTGTATTTCAGCCTCACCATCAGTAGACTCTTTCAGCTTTGCTATCTGCAGGATTTCACTCAATGTCTTATGGTTACCGTGAGCACAGGGTAATGTAACATCCATCTGAGTCTTTAATAAAGAGTGTGGCAGCAATGTTGTGAGGTGAATGGCGGCCATTTTGAGTCATGTAAAAGCTGCTCTGTTACATTGACTATTATTAGTGTTATCTAGTAGATACAAGTGTAATGCACTAGATAATTGGGCATATCATTGTGCTTGCAGTGAAAACCAGCTCTCTTGTACTTGTGTTATGGTATTAAAAGCTACAGATGTTCTCACAAAAGCTATTGTATTACATTTTCATAGCATCCTTTCAACAGGGAAGATACATTGTCAACGCAGGCTTTACTCAAGCCTATACCATTAACAGCGGGGGTTGCGTTAAAAATCTACCTGGGAGGCGCACGCTTAGAAAAAAAGGTGCTATCTAGAACCTTAAAGGGTTCTTTGGCTGTCCCCATAGGAGAACCATTTGAATAACCCTTTTGGGTTCCATGTAGAACCCTTTCGACAGAGGGTTCTATATGGAACCCAAAAGGGTTATACCTGGAACGCAAAAATATTTTACCTGGAACCAAAAAGGGTTCTCCTATGGGGACAGCTAAATAACCCTTTTGGAACCCTTTTATGTAAGAGTGCAGTGCTGCCTTACAGGTGTCGTTGAAGGCCGATTTGTCCCTTGTTCTTCAACAAGTCACACATAAATAAGTATGAAAGACACAAAGAAGGACGCACGGTCAAACCAATCAAAAACAGACAAAAACCAAGAGTTGACATTTTATTTAGGCGAGGAGGAGCAATATACAGAACAAAACACAAGCAACAACCGAAACATCAAATCACAAAACAACATACTGTATCTACCTGTATGATAATACATCATCAATCACTTTAGACACTGTTGAGGAGCATACATCTGTTCCAAAAACCACCTGTACCAAATTTCATATTAGCCCAATGTCTCCTAAAGTGCAAGGAGACTTTTTCACAGAACAAATTATTTTGCCATTCAGGGACATGCAGTTCAATCTGAGGTCCATACACCATCAAAACATGTTTCAATACCCTTCTGCTTTCACTGAGTCTCAATTCACTCAAATATAGTGTAAGTCGAAACTTGGGGGTTACTTCACGATCTGTGTACGGTTCGGTCAATCAATATCTGAACTTAAACAACTAAGACGGATAATCATTTTGACTGCATTAATGTATTTTTCTTATGTCGTCCACAAGATTTAATTAATGAACAAAGACGTTGTGGGCGTAGAGAGGAAGGTCTGTAACAGGATATGTGTGCTAGCTGTTTTCAAAGTAAAAGCTGTGTGACTATCTGACGTTACCTGACCATCGCTCCAGCTAGCGAGCTTTCGCCAGCTTAGTTATAAATAAGGGCCACCAACAAGTAATGCTAGTTAGCTAGCTAGCTAGCTGACTTCCTTCAATGCTTGGTGGCTTTACTGACAGACAAGACAGGGAGCTTATATTAAAAGCCACCAAGTATCGAGCTAATGGCTAAAGCTAGCTAGCTAGCTATCATACCAAACAGGTGTGTGTGTGTGCGTGTCTGTCTGTACACTGTACAAGGATCGTTCAATACTATCCAGCCCCAGCTAACACGGCTTGACATACTAAGTTTTGACCATCACCCTCTCTCTGCCATCAGGTGAGTATGAATTAATTATCAACAATTGTCTATTTTAAGTCATTCCCTCCACCTAATAATGGCAGAGATGAAAGGAATTAAGATGCATTGTTCAACCATTCAATTATTCTCAATTGTAATTAGTGAGTATAGGTGAGTATATCTGTGGAGAAATAGGTGTGAATACTGAGTATGCCTGTGTATGGCCACCACTACACCTGCACCACTGGGTGAGATTGAAGCTGGTAGTGTTGACAGTGACACTACACATATAGGCAGGCACAACACTTCTGCCATTCCCTGCCTTGCATGGTATGTAGAGAAGAACATCCATAGACATGGAGCTGCTGCAGCAGCTGGACCACAGGTAACACGCATGCACAGGAGTGGATGAGCAGACAAACAAACACATGGTCATAGTTTCCAGATAGAAAAGCTTAAAGTCTGCATCGAGAATCTTATGAGATTTATTTCTGTGTGTATGTGTGTGTGTGTATGTGTGAGGTAAGGGGGCAGAGTGTTTCCCCCGATGTGCTCGGTTAGCGGGTATGTATCTGTAGGCCCTAACTAACCTGTGTGTGTGTAGGAAGTGAAGAGGCAGACTGTGTTGTACCCTCTGTCCTCTCTGAAGGGGTTAGTGTGAGGGCTCTAGCCTGCTGCTCCCTCTGAGGAAGAGCATCCTGAAAAACATGACCTTCCTCTCCTTTCAACAGGACACACATCTCAACCTCCACATATGTGAGTGTGCGGGTGTGTGTGTGTGTGTTGCGTGTGTGTGTGTGTTTGCGTGTCAGTTGTTGTAGTCTGCCTTACTCATAATACTCATAAAACTGTGTGTGTTTTTTGTGAGAGACGAGTGTTTCCACTGTTCTATGAAGTTGATGTGCGTTCTCAGTTGTGCGTTTGACTTAATATCATTCCCAGACACTTCCGCCCAAATGCACGATGAGTCTGGTGGGCCAACGCGTCAAACTGTGGTCAGAGGGAGCTGGGGTGAAGTCGGCAGACAGCAGATGGTGGAAGTGGAGGTGTTTGGGTTGGAGAGGACGGTGGACTTAGTGGACGACATCCCAGCCACTTGTCAGTGTTGGCACTGCTACTTCCTACCTAATGAGTCAGTGGACATCACTTCTACTTATACAATCAATCAAGCAAATTTATAAACAGCTTAATGTTTTAAACCAGCAGCTGTCACAAAGTACTTTTACAGTAACCCAGCCTACACCAGGGGAACCCGGGACATACAGGGCACCACTGTTCCTGCCATCTCTTTCTCCCTGTGTGATGACATATCCTGTTCCTGTTTATACACCTGACCAGCTGAGTGCAGGTAGGCTCTCCCGTCAACATGAGGATCCTGCTGCTCCCGCCCAAAATACACACGGGCACACAGACACACACACACACACACTCATAGGAATGCTCGCCTATTTAAATGTTTGTGTGTATGTGTGTTGTGTGTCAGAGTTAAGAGATGATAAGCCAGCGTTTAAGAAGAGGCGTCTGGTGTGGGAGGATGACATGGAGATGCACTCCAAGTTCCTGGACAGAAAGGTGACATATTAGTCTTAACATGACACAAGATGAGACCCAGATGCAGACACAGGAGGCAGATGGTTAGAGTCTCTGATATTTATTAATATATAAGGGGCAGGCAAGAGGCAGGTTGAGGACAGGCAGAAGTTTGTAAACTGGGTCAGAGTCAGATAGGTACAGGACGGCAGGCAGGCTCAGAGTCAGGGCAGGCAGAATGATCAAAACTGGAAGAACTAGAAAACAGGGACTAAAGCGAACAGGAGTATGGGAAAACCACGATGGTAGGCTTGACGAGACCAGACGAACTGACAACAGACAAACAGAGAACACAGGTATAAATACACATGGGATCATTGGGAAGAATGGGAGACACCTGGTGGGGGGTGGAGACAAGCACAAGACAGGTGAAACAGATCAGGGTGTGACAAGTCTTCCTTACACCCTACCATTACCCCCTACTCTCACCTAGCCGCTTACTCTTAACCACTAACCCCTACGTTTCCAACATGACCTGACCTGTGTGTGTGTTACAGGAAGAGTTGAAGGCGGAGCATGCCTCGTACCTGCGGCAGCACGGGGAGCTCCTTGCCATGTTGGCTGACTTCTTGCAGTTCCTTTTACTACGAAAACCGAGCGACGTCTTCTTGTTTGCCCTCGAGAACTTCTCCCCTTTCGCCTCCCGCCGACCTCCAGGGGGAGCTTCAACACCTCTCCTTGACAACACACTGTAGCTGCGTCTCAATAGTCTAGTAGCTACCTCTCACAGGCACTTTAGTGAGGACAACGCTCTTCTGGTTAGCACTTGTCATTATTATGTACAGAGGCCCTCGAAATCATCCAAATATTAATGCTTTTATGGATGTTTGTGATACAGTTTTTACCGTTCTACTGTTATTGTTTGTATGAGCTTCACTGAAACAAATTCCAAACAACTCTGTTTGGCAATGGCAAGAGTTACAGTTATGTCAGTTGGTGTGAATAAAATGAGATGTATTTCATGTTGTGTATATTTTCCATGCTTTATTTCTGTTAAGAACTTTATTCTCGAGTGTGATGAGCATCCTGTCGGGCTGTATCACTGCGTGGTATGGCAACTGCACCGTCCGCAACCGCAGGGCTCTCCAGAGGGTAGTGCGGTCTGCCCAACGCATCACCGGGGGCATACTGCCTTCCCTCCAGGACATCTACAGCACCTAGGGTCACAGGAAGGCCAATAAGTTAATCAAGGACCTCAGCCACCCGAGCCACGGCCTGTTTACCCCGCTACCATCCAGAAGGCGAGGTCAGTACAGGTGCATCAAAGCTGGGACCGAGAGACTGAAAAACCCAGTACAGTACCCTGACCTGAACTTTAGTCACTGTTACTAGCCGGCTACCACCCAGTTACTCAACCCTGCACCTTAGAGGCTGCTGCCCCTATGTACATAGTCATGGAACACTGGTCATAATGTTTACTTACTGTTTGACCCACCTCATATGTACATTGGCACTGGAGAAGATGGCTGCCGTTTTACAGCCCTCTAACCAATTGTACTACTATGTGTGTTTTTTCGCGTTATTTGTATTTTATTCTGTACATAATGTTTCTGCCACCGTCTCTTATGACCAAAAATAGCTTCTGGATATCAGGACAGCGATTACTCACCTTGTATTGGACTAATATTTTTTCTTCAACGAGTCGGACTCGAAGGATATTCTACAGACACCCGACAAGGCCCAAATCCCCGTCATTCAAAGGAGAAAAAGACAGAGATATCGTGAACGTAGGTCAGGGTGCCTTGTAAGGATCTGGCGGCGAGCCAGTAAACTGCCGCTCCCATCAATCTTATTAGCCTATGTTCAATCATTTGAAAACAAATTGGACCACCTAAGACTAAGGTTATCCTACCAACAGGACATTAAAAACTGTAATATCTTATGTTTCACCGAGTCGTGGCTGAACGACGACATGAATAACATACAGCTGGCGGGATATACGCTACATCGGCAGGATAGAACGGCTGACTCCGGTAAGACAAGGGGTGGTGGTCTGTGTATATTTGTAAACAACAGCTGGCGCATAAAATCTAATACTAAGGAAGTCTCAAGGTTTTGCTCACCGGAGGTAGAGTATCTCATGATAAGCTGTAGACCACACTATTTACCAAGAGAGTTTTCATCTATATTTTTCGTAGCTGTCTATTTACCACCACAAACCGATGCTGGCACTAAGATTGCAATCAATGAGCTGTATAAGGCCATAAGTAAAAAGGAAAATGCTCATCCAGAGGCAGCGGTCCTAGTGGCCGGGGACTTTAATGCAGGGAAACTTAAATATTTTCTACCTAATTTCTACCAGCATGTTAAATGTGCAACCAGAGGGAAGAAAACAGAGGGAAAAAAACTCTAGACCACATTTACTCCACACACAGAGACGCGTACAAAGTTCTCCCTCACCCTCCATTTGGAAAATCTGACCATAACTATCCTCCTGATTCCTGCTTATAAGCAAAAATTAAAGCAGGAAGCACCAGTGACTCGGTTAATAAAAAAGTGTTCAGATGACACAGATACTAAGCTACAGGACTGTTTTGCTGGTCTGATGAAACAAAAATAGAACTGTTTGTCCATAATGACCATCATTATGTTTGGAGCAAAACACCATCCTAACCGTGAAGCACGGAGGTGGCAGCACCATGCTGTGGGGGTGCTTTTCTGCAGGAGGGCCTGGTGCACTTCAGAAAATAGATGGCATCATGAGCAAGGAAAATTACGTGGATATGTTGAAGCAACATCTCAAGACATCAGTCAGGAAGCTAAAGCTTGGTCGCAAATGTGTCTTCGAAATGGACAATGACTCCAAGCATACTTCCAAAGTTGTGGCAAAATGGCTTAAGGACAACAAAGTCAAGGTATTGGAGTGGCCATCACAAAGCCCTGACCTCAATCCAATAGACATTTTGTGGGCAGAACTGAAAAAGCGTGTGCGACCAAGCAGGCCTACAAACATGACTCAGTTACACCAGCTCTGTCAGGAGGAATGGGCCAAAATTCACCTAACTTATTGTGGGATGCTTGTGGAAGGCTACCCGAAACGTTTGACCCAAGTTAAACAATTTAAAGGCAATGCTACCAAATACTAATTGAGTGTATGTAAACTTCTGACCCACTGGGAATGTGATGAAATAAATAAAAGCTGAAATGAATCATTCTCTCTACTATTATTCTGACATTTCACATTCTTAAAATAAAGTAGTGATCCTAACTGACCTAAGACAGGGACTTTTTACTAGCATTAAATGTCAGGAATTGTGAAAAACTGAGTTTAAATGTATTTGGCTAAGGTGTATGTAAACTTCCGACTTCAACTGTATATATTGTATTCTAGTCAAGGCCTATCCTATATAAATATTGCTGTACATATACCATTCTATCCTACGTATTCTACAGATATACTACATATTCTATCCATATGCTGTCCATAACGTCTATACATCCCATCACATACAGTGGGGAAAAAAAGTATTTAGTCAGCCACCAATTGTGCAAGTTCTCCCACTTAAAAGATGAGAGAGGCCTGTAATTTTCATCATAGGTACACGTCAACTATGACAGACAAATTGAGAGAAAAAATCCAGAAAATCACATTGTAGGATTTTTAATGAATTTATTTGCAAGTTATGTATACATTTTACATTTACATTTTAGTCATTTAGCAGACGCTCTTATCCAGAGCGACTTACAGTTAGTGAATACATTTTTTTTTTTATACTGGCCCCTCGTGGGAATCGAACCCACAACCCTGGCGTTGCAAACGCCATGCTCTATCAACTGAGCTACATCCCTGCCGGCCATTCCCTCCCCTACCCTGGACGACGCTGGGCCAATTGTGCGTCGCCCATGAGTCTCCTGGTCGCGGCCGGCTGCGACAGAGCCTGGATTCGAACCAGGATCTCTAGTGGCACAGTTAGCACTGCGATGCAGTGCCTTAGACCACTGCGCCACTCAGGAGTTGTATGTATGTAGACACTTGCTCATCGAACATCTCACTGTTGCCACAAAGTTGGAAGCACAGAATCTTCTAGAATGTAATTGTATGCTGTAGTGTTAACATTTCCCTTCACTGGAACTAAGGGGCCTTGTCCGAACCATGAAAAACAGCCCCACCAAACTTTACAGTTGGCACTATGCATTGGGGCAGGTAGTGTTCTCCTGACATCCGCCAAAACCTGATTCGGCCGTCAGACTGCCAGATGGTGAAGCATGATTTATCACTCCAGAGAACGCGTTTCCACTGCTCCAGAGTTCAATGGCGGCGAGCTTTATACCATTCCAGCCGACACTTGGCATTGCGCATGGTGATCTTAGGCTTGTGTGCAGCTACTTGGCCATGGAAATCCATTTCATGAAGCTCCCGACGAACAGTTATTGTGCTGACGTAGTAAGTGTTGCAACCTAGGACATAAGATCTTTACGCGCTGCGCGCTTAAGTACTCGGCGGTCCCGTTCTGTGAGCTTGTGTGTCGTAACACTTCGCGGCTGATCTGTTGTTGCTCCTAGATGTTTCCACTTCACAATAACAGCACTTACAGTTGACCGGGGCAGCTCTAGCAGGGCAGAAATTTGACAAACTGACTTGTTGGAAAGGTGGCATCCTATGACGGTACCACTTTGAAAGTTACTGAGCTCTTCAGTAAGGCCATTCTACTGCTAATGTTTGTCTATGGAGATTGCATGGCTGTGTGCTCGATTTTATACACCTGTCAGCAACAGTTGTGGCTGAAATAGCCGAATCCACTAATTTGAAGGGATGTCCACATACTTTTGTATAAAAAGTGTATATATTTAAATTGATCGTCCTAATATTTATTTATTAATTCCATTCTTTTACTTTTTAGATTTGTTGTGTATTGTTAGATATTAGTGCACTGTTGGAGCTAGGAACACAAGCATTTCACTACACCCGCAATAATATCTGCTAAATATGTTTATGCGACCAATAAAATTGGATTTGGTTTGAAAAAGACTATAAAATAAATCACACAAATACAAAGCTATATTGTATGCTCCCACATTTTTTCAAATTACATTATTTTATACTAACACAATTGCTCAGAGAAAGAGATTTTATTTAACAAGTAATAATTTCAAAAAGGCTCTTTGGTCTCCTTGGTGCAACGCCAGGGTGACCTGGGTGACCAGGTGACCTGGGCAACCTTGATCTACCCTACCAAAACCAACTTATCTGGATTTATTTTGCTTCTGGGGAAGAAATGCATATTTCAAAACTGGAAGAACTAAAATAACATACAGTATTGACACCATCTGATCATTAAATATGTACACGTGGAACAAATCACAATGTCAACAACCCATCAAACAGCTGCATTCATTAAGGTCTGGAATACATTACTAGCCCATCTGAATCTCATCTCCAACTCTCTCTCTCTCTCTCTCTCTCTCTCTCTCTCTCTCTCTCTCTCTCTCTCTCTCTCTCTCTCTCTCTCTCTCTCTCAGAAGTCAATTAATAGCATTCTCACGTAGGTGTTCCTCTTGTCCAGATGGGAAAGGGCAGTGTTGGAGTGCAATAGAGATTGCATCATCTGTGGATCTGTTGGGGCGGTATGCAAATTGGAGTGGGTCTAGGGTTTCTGGGATAATGCTGTTGATGTGAGCCATGACCAGCCTTTCAAAGCACTTCATGGCTACAGACTTGAGTGCCATGGGTCGGTAGTCATTTAGGTAGGTTATC